AATACGTCTCTCTCTGACCGCAGTTCAATTACTCATTACCTACACACGCATTACCTTGTCACGTTGTCACCCTCTTATATATACCAATTACCCTATCTAGTAAATGTTAGGGCATTCGTGAAGGAACAAGATAGTTCTAGAAACTAGAGGGCGTGAGAACAGTCACGTGATCTCGATGACGCAACAATATTCTTTTCTATACGCAGTCGTTCTTCACTCCTACTAAGTTCACATTCCTTATATTGTTGTATCCTTTTGAACAATATTACACTATGCACGTGTTCATTAATTTTCTTACATTGTTGCCTATATTTTTGTTATACATTTCTTTTTTTATTTAGTTTATGTACTACATTTATAAAATTTTTATAGTATAATAATTTTTTTTTATATGTTACTTCTCTAATCTCACTTGTAGCTTCAGGAACATGACCCTTATATTAACAGTTTCATTGCCACTGGTAACCCTGATGAAGGGCTATTGCCCGAAATGTCGTTTTCTTGTTTTATTAATAAAATTATTTTAATTTGGCGAGTTTTTCACCACTACTTTATAATCTACATTATTGAGTTATTAGTAGTTTGCATTCTTTACAAATAATTTCAGTCAGAGCTATAATAATATGCATATAAAATGTATTCCACGAAATAAAATGCTTAAAAACTAAATCAAGTCATTAGTTTTTTTATCATAAAATGCCCTCTTGAAAACATTTGTGTTATAATCGATATCTTTGTTTGTTTCAATAATATGTATTTTCTAGGACAACCCATACCAAAACTGACTTGGTGGCGAGGTTCAGTACTGTTGGACGACACATTTGGTGTTTTACCTAATAAAAAAAGCTTCAACAAGTTGGAACTTCCTGAACTTAGACGTCAGGATTTATTTACAGAACTTTCTTGCTTGGCTTCTAACAATGATAAATCTGTGCCAGCTTCGGCTACAGTAAAGATTGATATGACACGTAAGGTCGCTAAAAACTTCATTACACCTATCATTAGATTAATGTCTTAACAAACGGATAGGCAAGTAGTTATATATTAAGCACGAGAAAATGATAAATAACTTGAGCTGTGTGGTGTAGATTTTGTTTATACATTTATATTTGTGTTTTTTCATAGTTTTAAACCTTTTGAGACTATCTAACTTTGCAGCTAGATTTACAATTTTCATTTCTTTACCTTAAGATGATATGATTTTAAATATAAAACAGGTTTACTTATTTTGAATAAGAAATCCTTTAGGATGGTCAGCTGATTACTTTAGTTTTGGACTATATCAACTCTCATCAGTCCAGCTAAATTGATGACGGAGAGTGTTATCCGAATGATGTTTATGCTACCTTAGACAAGTGAAATAGTTTATTATAGATTTAATTTGTATATACAAACCTTTGTACTGTTTCACAACAAAAGGGATTTTAGGAGGTTCTCTCATTTTCAACCTGCACTGGTATTTTGTGCAGTATACAATGAGGAAAGATAAATCCCATAATATGGACTGATGATAGCTGACATAGCGCAAAACTACATTACTCAATTACACGTATGTTATCCATTATAAATGAATATGTGCCATATTTCCAATCTTCCCTATTATTTCTTATTTTTATGCAAATGAATATGTGCCATATTTCCAATCTTCCCTATTAATTCTTATTTTTATGCAAATGAATGTGTACCATATTTCCAATCTTCCCTATTATTCCTTATTTTTATGCAAATGAATATGTGCCATATTTCCAATCTTCCCTATTATTTCTTATTTTTATGCAAATGAATATGTGCCATATTTCCAATCTTCCCTATTATTCCTTATTTTTATGCAAATGAATGTGTGCCATATTTCCAATCTTCCCGATTATTTCTTATTTTTATGCAAATGAATGTTGAGTAAAGTGTTTTGATGAACACATCACACAAATTAAGTGCCACACACCGTTCTATACTGATTAACACATTTCTTTCGTGCGCACTTTGGTATAAAGTGGTGTATGGAGCTGTATAAATTAATGGAAGAAACAATGCCACCAAAGCTCGTTTGTGCTAAGTATCTTACAAGACTTTATTTCATTTATCGGTATTATATTATGTACTTCATTCACTGAATGCTATTCTGGTTGCAATATCTTCTTAATAATCTTCTGGAGGATAGCAGTTTTTAAACGTTTATTTTTGTGTGACATCTCTAGGAAAATATTTTAGTGGGCTAGTTTACGTTGGTTTATTGATATACTACTTATAAACTATTTGCGCTTAAGAATGTCGTTATCGCCTTCATCAAAATCTACTTCAAACATCTAAATAATTGGTTTATGAAGGTTTAGGTTTTCTTTTTCTGTAATATTTATCAACTTTGAATCTTTTGATCTTTGTCGCCCCCTCCATCCATGGCCCAGCGTTAAGTTTGAAGGCTATTAACGCTAAAAATCGGATTTCGATATCTAAGGTGACTATATGGCAGATATCCCATTTGTGTAGCTTTATGCATAACGGTAAACAAACAATCTTTGATACCCCTAACAGGTTTTAGTTATGTTTATTTAAGGACATATATTTTCTATTATAATTTCGAAATACAAGTGTCGACGAACTTGTAATAATCTGACCAATCTTCAACAATGAATAGTAATTTCTTTAAGGAGGTATATCGTGTCACTTGATACCCTAATCAACTAATTATCACGATGATTTATTATTTCTTACAGCACAGAGCGTCCAGCAAATGTACTATCTATTTGAAACAATGTAAAAATAAAATAAAAATTCATTTTTCACATTCGAAAACTTTAGCCTAGTTAAAAAAAAAAATCACATTACAATTGAATATCGTACAAACTCTTAGAAGTATGGTATCCTATTTCGCTTATACTGAAGCATATGTCATACTGGAGGCCCTTCTAATGTGTCAGCGTGTGCAAACATTCTATACACAATCTTTGAAATTCTTATTGCAAAGGTATGATACTTACAAATTCCACATCTTATTGCACGTGATAAGTCTATATCCACATGGTCACCAACTAGGAAATAACTTCTTAAATTTCGTATGCGGATAACAATTAACTTCGCTAGCTTTAATCTTTTTTGCTGTAACATAGTGTAAAGGTATAAAAAAATGTATTAGAAGTACGTTCAACAAATCTTCGTTTACTTATGAAATCACAATTTAAAAGTAAATACAGAACAAATGAGTCTCAAAATAAAAGAAACTAGTAGAATTTTGAATTTTTTATGTGCTTTCTTATCTTCATCGCCACCTTGCGATTAAAATTATATTTATTTCAATAGTCTTAGTGGTTTGTGTAATTATCATTACCGATCGTAAGACCGTTGATCTATTGTTCTTCGTAGTGGCCTCTGTCGTTGGTTGAGAGTTGAGCTAGTAACCACATTCATTTATTTAACATAAAACTTATTTAATGACGCTCTCTAACATGTTTAATATATCTGTGTAATTTTGATTTTTCTTTCAGATTTTTAATCATTTTGCCATTGGGCATGCTGAAACATAGTACAAAATTGTATAAACAGAAAATGAATAGTACGGAATAAAGGAGAAGATTACAATAATTATGTTTAAATTACGATAATAGAATTTTATATTAATAAGATTTTAATGAGGCATCACATATCGTTTATTTAATACGTAATTAAATGCTTAGGATTGTTTGTTTGTTTTTATTTATGCACAAAGCTACACAAGGGCTATCTGTGCTCTGCCCACCACGGGTATCGAAACCCGGATTCTAGCGTTGTAAGTCCGCAGACATACCGCTGTGCCACTGGGGGGCAAATGCTTAGGATTGATATTATAATTAGCGTCGTTGTAGGCATTAGGTTCTGTTTGTATCTTTGTCTCCAACTATCTTTCTGTCGTTGTATTGAGATATCTGTCCGGCTGATAGTCTTGTTTAATAACCTTTATAGGTGTGTTTCTCTCGATAGTTTGCTTGTTTATTTGCTTGCTTTTTCAGAGCAAAGCCATTTTGGGCTATCTGTTGTATATACCGCGAGGAATTAAGCTCCGGATTATAACGTTGGTCGGTAAATTTACCGCTGCCTCATCAGGGAACTTCTTTCTATAAACTTATTCCTTTGGTGAGCTGCCGATTTGCGAGTCGTTTCGTTCTACATTTCTGCTTGCTTTTCAACTTAATTATAAATATATTGTACGGTTAAGTGCATATTTTACGAGTATTTATATTTGTCTAAGATTTCATTCAAATAAATATAAACTAAATAAACAATATTTGACTTGAAAATGAACTAATAGCTTTTGTTTTCTTGTAATCTTATAATATAGAGAATAATTTACGTATTCGTGTCACTACAGTAACTTTTGCATGTTTGTGAACTTTGTAATATAACTTTAATAAAATATTAATAAATATGATGACAATCGTAATTAATAAATCTTTCATAATTCCTTTCTGTGATGCAATAATATCAATTAACATTATTTCAGGCTGATATAATTACCGATATTACAAACAGATGTTTCACAGAGCTTCTTCCTTTTTCTCTCTTTACAGTAAAACCATTACTGTTGGATATTGATGGAATGGACCAGATTTTATCAGCTAATAAACTGACTAAATTACAGTGCAAGACAGCTGGAGCTAGGCCCAACGTTACCATTTCTTGGTGGCTTGGTAGCAAACAAATGAAAAGAACAACAAATGTAACGGCAGACGGCGGAAACATTACCATCAGTACACTGTCGTTCAAGCCATCAAAGGAAGACGCTGGGAAGTATATGTCATGTCGTGCCAAAAATCCCCTGATACAAGGAAGCGCTTTGGAAAAAGGATGGAAGCTGACTGTCCACCGTATGTATATGACTACTTCATTATACCTCAAAGATTAAAATCTTAGAACTTTAGAATCCTTGAAAGTTGCTCATTTTAAAATAGTTTAATAGCTTTATTTCAGTAACGTAATGATAAGCATATCCCTTTATGATTAAGGAACATTTATAAAATCGTTGCATAATTCCATGATTTATAATTAACAATAAAGAAAGGATCTTTCTTACATGAAAATTCTTCTACCAGCATACTAACAAAATAGGAAGTTATTCGTTTGTTTCTTTGTTTGTTTTGAATTTCGCAAAAAGCTACTAGAGGGCTATCTGCGCTAACCGTTCCTAATTTAGCAGTGTAAGACTAGAGGGAAGGCAGCTAGTCATCACCACCTACCGCCAACTCTTGGGCCACTATTTTACCAACGAATAGTGGGATTGGCCGTCATAAATATGACATTCTCACGGTTGAAAGGGTGAGCATGTTTGGTGAGACGGGGATACAATAACAAACAAACACACATTATTGGAAGAAGATTAATTTAAGCATATTTTATGCTTCAGATGAAATGTCTTATTCCTTTACGAAAGATATACATAATTTATGGACATTTTATTTTGAATTTGTAATCTAAAGAACACTAACGAAACATCGAAGCTTTAAAACTGCTGTTACATTAGATAAATACATTGAAAAATTGACTGAATTTTGTTCTTAATTTTCTAATATCTTACCATCAATATTTTTGAATCTATAAATCTTAGATATATTTTGAATCGTGATGTTTGTCCGAACATTCGTCTATCTCTCGTTTACGGCGACTGCGCTGTGTTTGAAAAGATGTACACGCAGGCAAAGCTCAACATTCACTTTTGAAATGACGGGTGAACATAAATAATGTTGATGCCAAATTGTATTTTGCAAGCAGGATATTCTACACTTAAATGTTAGGTATTAATCACACTACCATTCACATTTCAAAGTGTGACGTAATCTATGTCATTGTTGAGCGGTTCTTAGCATGACTGAAATGCTCAACAATTACATTTCGCAGTGAGCGGTTCAAGTAGCTCAAGCGCTTTGGCTCTGAGTGAAACCAAGAGTAAACTTTTTAAAGTCCATGAAATAATTTAAATTGATAGATTAATTAAACTTTTCTCGCCAAGGGGGACGGGTACTTTTGCTTGTCATTAATATTTTCGAAGTTATAAATTTCAACTTAGGAATAAAAAGCAACATACTTTAAGTAATTGTTTGTTTAAAGTTAACCACAAAGATGCACAACGGGCTATATGTGCTCTGCCCACCACGGGTATCGAAACCCGCTTTCTAGCGTTATATGTGTGTGAAGCAATTGTTTTACATATAATTCATCACCTCTTTTTTTCTGGTGCCAAATATAATATTAATATTTTCCTTGATTTCATCTCTTCAAATTTTGTGTTAACAGTTTGTTTCATTATAATTAAGAACAAAGCTACACGGTGGGCTAGCTGTGCTCCGCCCACCACGGGTATCGAAACCCAGTTTCTAGCGCAATAAGTTCACTGACATACCGCTGTGCCACTGGGAGCTTACCAGTTTGTTTGTTTTAGCAGCATACCATTAACGTTATTTATTAAATATTTTTTATTACTGTATATCTGTGTTGTTTAGGTAGAGTTTACTAACCAAAATTAGATTAGTTGATTAATTCCTTTGAATTTGATTCCATAATTTCACACTTTCGAAGTCATATTTGAAGCTAATGTTATATGCAATTTATGAAAATAATTTGGTTGCTCTCACTGTTATCAACATTTTAATTAGCTATATATATATGGTACAATTTGTTATCTATATACATATCTATACCTATGTATATATAACATGCGTGTGTACTATATATGATAAATATACAAGTAGTTAAAGTGCTATATATGTTGCCATATATAGTTAGTATAAGAAATGGAGGATTTTAGTTGGTTGTTACTAAGCGCAAAGCTAAACAATGGGTTATCTGTGCTCTGCCCATCACGGATCCCTGCAGACTTGCCACTGGTGAGCAGCAGTATAAGAAAAGACGAAGATGGTTTTGGTAAAATGTTTTTTCTCTAAGATGGACTATAGACCTGATTTTTCTTCTGTTTATGGAGAGTTACACTAACATATATTCAAACCATATATTTGATGCTATCAACTTGTATTTTCAATTACTTTTTTCCTTCGTAGATAAGCCTGATTTAACCCTTCGACTTGGTAGTAAACTTCGGCATTCCCATATTCAGCAAGGAAACGATGTTTACTTGGAGTGTAACATAATCGCCAATCCTTGGGTAACAGAAATTGGGTGGAAATTTGAGGGAAAAGAACTTCAGACTAATACCTCAGCTGGGATCATTATTAGTAATCAATCTCTTGTGCTGCAAAAAGTAGGACGCACCAACAGAGGGCGTTATTCGTGCACCGCCACAAATAGTGAGGGCCAAGGTGAAAGCAACGCACTTCACCTAAAGGTTCAGTGTAAGTAGTAATTTAAGAGAACCCAACTCTTCATCATTATAAGGTCCTAAGAAACAATAATAAAAATATATCTATATTTGACATACATATTTTATACTATTAATAAGTCATGACCCAAAGTAAACACTGTGTAGATGAAAATTTTAATACATTTTAAGTAACACATAGATTAATAAGCATAATCCAGTGTAACACGCTGCATAAAAACATGTAATGCTATAACTCAACTCATCATTAAACTAACACGTATATAAAGTGTTAATTTTACTTTCAGTTAACGAAGATTTTAGCGGTAACATCAGGGTCCTTTGTTGTTATCATACAACAGTTGCACCATTGAAATCAATTCCTCTGGTTTAAATCAAAATTTTTCTACCTAAAAGAAGTATTTCAAGAATGCTGGTTATTAATGAATTTGATTTATTTATTAAGACACTGAAAAAATATAATTTGTTATTTATTTCGTAATAACCCTTTAAAGTATTGAAGAATTCTCATTCTTGAAATGTGCTGAGAAAGTGAATCATTCACTTTTCAGTTATCTTATAGGTTATATATAGATAGCTGTTTGTAAAATTCAATGTAGTTCAATTCCATATTTGCGCGGAAATCGAAAATGTTTAATGTCAACCTCTCTATAGAACAGCTAAGAAATTGTGTCTATGATTGTCATCAGTACTAGCTGTCGTATGTACTTTATTGCATGAGGCTTTGTTTTTCTTAGAAGTGACATTTATTTAACTTGATTATGCTGATGAACAATACAGCAACTGTAAAATATAACAATATGTTGAATATAAACTATTCTGAGAAGCGTTATGACATTGCTTTAGAAGATTGACTGTAGTAGCACAACAGTAAAGCTTGGTCAGTAATAGTGTATTCTGAGAGCAATGTAGCAAAGCATTAGCTCACCAGCAAGTTTTGTTGTACCTAGCATTTCTAGTCATCTTCAATTGTATTGTCGTTATTTTATTTTTGTCTACTGCTGTTTGTTATATCTTCAAGGTAAGTCCTTAATATCTTCATCTCATCATCAATTTTCACTTGAATAAAAATATTTGTTTTAGTGATATAGTCACGGTCAATCAGTTACTTGAACTTGCAAAATTATCTGGTTTATTGGACATTTACCTTACAAGTGTGAATGCCAGCCTCGCAGAACAGACGTCACACCTTAATGCCTTGACGAGGGTTTAGTTTGTTCATATGAAGGTTAGGTGCACATTTTATTGAATTTTTTTTTATTTACTTATCCCATTTCGCTTTTCTTATTTCTATATGAGTAAAAGACCCTCCCCTCTTCCCCTTTGGCTCAACAGTAAGTCCGCAAGCTTAAGACGCTAAAAACCGGGTTTCAATACTCGTGGTGGGCAGAGTTCAGATAAGCCAATGTGTTGTCCTGTGCTTAACAACAACCAAACGAACTGAGAATAAGAAACCATCTTCTCTTCTGAAGAATTATTCTATTTCAGGAATAAGAATATATATATACTAGTCTAAGGCCAGGACTAGAAGTTACTGATCATGCCCATCGGAGTCCAGGCTTTGACAAGGGGTAATCTTCCATATTCTGCCAAATGCTCCAAGGATCCAAGATGTTGAGCCTGGCAGCAAACACCATTGACCTGCCAAAACAATAAATTATGCAAGAAAAGTTTCCAAAATGGGGTTTCCCTTGGTCACTGAGAAATTAGCAGGCCCTGAGACCACACTGGGAAGTATATTTAGCACAACTTAATAGTCGACGTGCAGTTTATATTAAATCTTACCATTAAGGATGATGAGTAAGAAAACCTTACCTCTCGAACTTGGCATTCCATTCCCTGTTATGGTGATAAATTAATATTAGTAGCACAGCAAATATATATATATATATATATATATATCATAATACAATTCCTACCGAGTTATCTAAACTAGTATGACAAGTATATATTTCTTTTTAAAATGATTTTTCTGTTGCACACAGATGTTTTTTATTATCATTTGGATTTGGTTTTTAAGACCTAGATAGACTACTTTTGTATATTTGAGATACTACAGAAGTTGAATACATTATATTTAACCAATCTTGGAGCCTTATCATATCATTGTAGCTCATGTTGCCATGACTGATACTGGTCCATCTGAATCGTGCATCTTAACAATAAACCTGCAGCTAAGTTTCCATTGTAAAAGTCTTCTCGCGAGACTGTTAGACTTTCCATAATATATCTAGTCTTAGTTTTGTGATTTCATACACTGTTGGCATCGTTTCCAGAAGGAGTACCTTCATGATTATGTTGCTAATTGTTGCCTGGGACAAATGGACGGGTTTTTACCACTGAACTTTGTGTTCGTGGATTCTCATGCCACACTTTGTTTACAGCAGTTCGGTTACGTATTGCAGGTATCTTTCTAGATGGTCCAAATGTCCCAAGGTGATCCATATTTCGTTGTTTTCTAATTCTATTAACTACAGGGGATATCCCTATTATGGAAATTCTAATTTTCCGATATTAACACATTTGTATGATCCAACTGTAGGAATATTTTGCATTGAAAAGGGATGTTTCAAACCTTTTCCAAGAGCGACCATTTTTGGAGGTATCACACTACCAACACAATTCTGTCGTTCAATCTAACTTTATGTTGGCTGTAGCTTCAAGTGACTTGCTGATTTTCATATTTAAAATCACTCTAATATTACGAAGTGTAACGAATTTGTTATTATATGTTTATTTTAATATGAACATTGTTTAGATTAAGTTTATATTTAAAAACATGCATAGCTTGTAGTGTTAGATATACTTGCAAAACTCCCGCCTATTCTCCAAAGTTGTAGAAGATTCTCGTGAGTAAGAATCAACAATATGCGTGTGTACGTAAACGCTTAGGTGTAGTTCAGTATTGTTACGTAATCTGAATTTTCTAAAAATCCTTCCCACGCCTATAAATACAGCCAACGCGACGTGCCAAGGAGAGTGTTATTAGTAATTCGCTATAGTCAGTATGCTGTAAACATCGAAAGCTATAATGTGATCTTTATAACGTTTATCAGTCGGAAAGCTTCAGATATTTGACGAAAACATTACCTAACTTCAACGATGGAAAACCTAGCGTATGCGGCACAGGACAAAGCTAGCTAGCTTCCCGGCGAATCGTACTTACATCAACTCGTAATTAACTCGTTCATCGTAAACCCTCGATAAGACATCAAGGGTGTTACAGACTAGAAAGAAGATTTTATATTGTTTGTAAGTTTGTGAAACTTTCGTTTATAGATCTTTGTTTGTAATAACTATTTGTAATAATTGTTATTGCAAATTTTATGGTTGTGTGTATATTAAAACGTATTTGTGTTAAAAACGAAGACGGTGTTTATCAATCTGGTGAGAAATATCGTAAATTGCCTAATACATCAGCATATATTTAAATACTAAATCCAAAGTACAATTTAACTACTAAATGTAAATTATCAGTTAACTCAGCTTCGGACTATTCGAAATTCTAGTACGTAACAGAACTCACCCTCTGTATAATACGTAATGTTATATTGACTTTTGTGTCACTACTCACAAACGAAGCTTGAATTTCATTATGACAAAATTATTATTAATAGTATAGTTTTTAAAGAAACATGTTTTGTATATTTTTTTCTCTATGTATATTATTTTCAGTTTTATGTTTTTGTTTACATTCCAGTCAGTCCAAGATGTAAGGACGGTCAAAAAATTGTATACGGGGCATCTCTTCAAGAATCTATAAAAGTTTTGTGTGAGGTCGAAGCTGATCCAGGGAACGTTTCTTTTCACTGGAGATTTAACAGTACCAAAGAGATCCTAGAGCTAGTGACATTTACTAGTGATGAAACAAGAAGCATAGCCACGTTCATACCGCGCATGAAATACGATTACGGTAACTTGTTCTGTTGGGCTAGCAACAAAGTTGGCATCCAAAGAAAACCGTGCGTTTTCAAAGTGGTCCCCGCAGGTAACATCAAACTGTTTGAGTAATCAAATAAGTAAGACTGTTAAACTTAATCTTACGCATCATGTTCGCAACTTGAATAATGTAGATCTTTCAAGGTCTATAATTTCAATTATTGAATGTAAAATTAAAACTATGTGTACAATGAATTTTTTAATAACTCCAAAATAGAACAATCGTAATTCATGTTAAAGTAATAATATTTCATTAAAATGATTTAAGTTTTTGCTACGAGTTTCTGAAATGCTAAAAATAAACTTAAACTTTAGGTAAAGAAATTGAAGGATTACAAAAAGAGCCAATAATGGTAAATAACAAATATATATTATATATACGTATGTTGAAATGTTAATTTGGAATTTGAAAGCGAGCTAATGTTTATATGTGTGATGCAGACTTCATCTAAGCTCGGTATTTTATCATAATAACTCAGTACAGACACATTTGAGTCACGCAGTATACTTATAGTTAGACCAACTACAAATATTAAGTTTTTCGAACATAGTATGCTACGGTTAAAAATTCAAGGTACTTGTGTGAAAAGTGATTCAAATGCTCAAACAATCAACATTTTTTATTTCGCAATTTGAAAACGTTAGTTATTTGAGTGTTTAAAAAATATGCTATAATAAGATGATTTCAATATGGTTATACATTATTAATAATCATTCGTACTTTTTACAATTATAATATAATCAAACTTATTATGATAACTTTCTATATATTTTAAAAACACCTATCACTTTCTTTACATACTTAGGTTTCATTATATCAGTGCTGAGTGTGATATAAATGTTCATTTTTATTCATTATTAACACTTTTCTACTTCTGATACTGTATTTTATATTAGAAGTATTGTATAAGGAGGGAATGAAATACACGTTTTCTTATGTAACGATGACTGGACTTTTATAAAAAACGACATTTCTCGGACAAAAAGTATATGTAAATGAATGTAACAAATTACATGGAATAATGAAAGAAGCTGTAATATACCTTTGTGTATACAGTCAGTACCAGATGTTGCAAGACATGCAAAATATGCTTTTCTTCATCCTTTTCTTCCCTAAGGAGCTTGCCTGCCACGTACATCTGGGTACAAATCCTTTATTTAAAGAAGTATAAAGAAAAATCAGCTCAGTAGTTTTGTTTTTCTCATTTATTGGTCTCCATGACAAATTCAATTGTCTTCTTGTAGGTCCTCCTGATACAGTAAGAAATTGTTCTCTGCGAAATCAAACAGAACATGTTATTGAGGTGGAGTGCACCGAAGGAAACAATGGCGGTCTTAATCAACATTTTGTAATGGAAGTACATGACAAGAACTTCCAGATATTGAGGGCCAATATAACAGCACCAGAACCAACGTTTCAGGCTGAGAACCTTCCGGCAGGAACTAACTTCCTAGTTGTTGTATACGCTGTGAATTCTAAAGGACGTAGTCATCCTCTTGTCATGCGAACAAGTACTTTACCAGCTCCACAGACACAGTCCAGAAGAGGTAAAAAGGAAGAAAATGGGATTGTAAATAATTGTTTTGCATTACGTTTTCCTTGGAAAAGATAATAATAAATATTGTTATTATGAAGTAAACGATCACTAGTCAATCGCCTGAACCACTACATTGAAAAAAATAAATAAAACTAATTCGTTCATTCAAAGCATTAATACAATTCACATATTAGAGAAAGCCACTCTCCTAAATATCATGCTGTTATAACATCGTCGAACAGCATTAAGAAACAGAAATGTGTATCATAGTTAAGATTTTTAATTAATTGTACGAAACTAATAGCTCACTAAAAACTTGTTAAAGCACCCTTTGTTTTGGATTTTCGAACCCAAATTGTGTATTTTTCTTCGTGAATTCAGCTTAAAACAACTTGTCAATATAAATCTGAAGGTACAAAAGAATGATAATTTGCTTATAGGCCGATTATGTTTCTTATTAGACTTTTAAACAATTTTTACTTAACTTCCTGCAAACACCGTTATGAATTTATGTACAGCTAATATAGTTTAAAATTTATGGAATATTGCAGTTTGAGAAATATGCGTATTGTGTAAACTTTGACATGGAATGTTTACGTACTAATATATGGAGACAATAAACATTTCTGAAGACTTTGATACAATTTGTAGATTCACTAAAAAATGACTTTAGAAGCTGTTTCGGAAATCATCAGGTAATCAAGAAGTTTCTGAGTAACATTTAGGAAGACCATTAATGGAATTTTATACCAGTATTTCACACCCGAAATTAATGTTTCAGGTTCTTTCAGTTTATTTGAAAATAAAAATTATAAGTTCAGATCATGAGATATATTACGTTTTTTAACACTGAACCAAAGTCTAGGATTTATTCATCAATTAAAAACTTTCTTTCATGAGATAAAGTCGGGAAACCAAGAAAAAAAAAATCGTAGTTTATTGTAATCATTCATATTTAAACCAGACAGTCCAGGTATATAACTGTTGTAACTTGTGTTTTGTTGTTGTGTAGCCCAGGTATATAACTGTTGTAACTTGTGTTTTGTTGTTGTGCAGCCCAGGTATATAACTGTTGTAACTTGTGTCTTGTTGTTGTGCAGCCCAG